ATAGTTAGTTTAGTAGTTTTATTAGTTGATTGATTTAAGATTTAGAGTTAGGAGTTGAGAAAGTAAGTTTTATTAAATAGAAAAATGGTACTACCCGATCTCAAGAAGTCAGCCATGGGAGAAATGGCCAATAAAGTATCTGCCCCCAATTTACCTACGACACAAGTCATGTGACTCAGAAACACAAAAAAAAACTGAGAAAACTTTCCCACCCTACCACACATTTCAAAATAAGCGAATCCCATGCGTCGACCGGGAATCGAACCCGGAACACCTGCTTGGAAGGCAAGTATGCTAACCATTACACCATCGACGCCTACTCATGACTTGTTGTGGTCACACCATAATACCTATGACCTAGACCAATCCCTGAGGTGACCACCGACCCACATACTGTTGACAGACCCTAACTTGATATATAAGTCGCCATTGTTCCCTCTTGAATAAACATCAGTTTCTCTCTTGCAATCTTTGGTTTTAGTATTTACTTGATATTAAGCTTACTCTACGATATTTTAAGTATACTATTATTATTATTTGAGCCCTTAACCTAGTTGAACCTTGACAGACTCAGTAGGGCCAATTCAGATGACATAGGGTGATGGACCTAACCCGAAAAAATTGGTGCTGATTTGTTGTGTTTGCCTTGACCCCTACACTTTTCTTTTGTTTCCTTTTGACTCTTGTTGCGACCAATGGTCGACTCCAGTGTGGTGCCTGATACCTAATATCAGCCCACTATAGTTATTGTCAGGTTCTGATGTCATATTGTTTCTTTGGTGGCATCTTTTTGATTTATTAATTATTTGGACGTTGTATTTTGTCACCCACAATTACATCATGAAGGTGATGTGTTGTACAATTGTTGTGATGTGTGTTTAAGGATTCCAATTGTGTTAAAGGTCGCGTAGCCTACAATTGGAATGCTTGGTGATGTATGTTGAAGGTAGTATTACATTGTACATCACCAAATACCTTAAACCATCGGCTATTTTATTATTAGTAGTATGTTTTCTTTTTGTAGTGATGATCTTTCGTATTCTGTGTTCAATTGTATTGTGTAGATAACCAAGGGCACTTGGTTATCATTAGTTATAGTAGTATATTGTGCGGGTATCCTATCATTCTGATATAAATAGGACCCGATTTCCTTATCAAATAAAGCAGTATTGAATAGTTTATTTTATTAGTGTTAACTTTTAACTTAGTACGACCCACGGTATTTACGGAAAGATACCACACCAGGTTTCCCAATATATGATGACATCTGAAACCTTGAACCTTGACTGATATAACTTTGGACAATTGACATTCAGGGAAACTTAGTTTAGTTTTGTTCTTGTTCATTTGGAATCTATTCTGACATTATTTCTGAATATACCTGTGAACCTTTACTTGTTTTATAACAGATTGGCCAATGCTGAAATGATTTCTATACTTGTGGTGTTGTTACTTGTGAATGTAAGGTTGCTGTACTACCCGCCTAAATGGGACCTTTATCTGATTTTTGTTGTCAGATTTGACCCCATTGGGAATTTTGGCTTTCTTTCCTAAATTTCCTTTGTTCTATCTGTGTGCATTTTGTGAAGGCCAAGACTATTCTTAGTTTTGGTTGTGTAATTATCAGTTGACACCACTGATAAAGACTGGTTCACCATTGTGAGTCTATCACAGTTTGATTATTCTTGCATAGTGTGATGTGTAGCATTCATATTCTGATATTGCTTTGACAAGATGATAATCATTCTCCTATGTTATCACTTGCATGCTTTACAATTGTTCTTTTGTGGTTTCATGCTGTTGAATGGTTAATGGATAACCTGCCTAATAGGTTATCCTAATTATTCATTTATATTGTTTGGTGATCTTTTTATTAAATATTGGTTTTGATATTGTAATAGGAGCCTTGTCACTGGTGCAAGTGTTGCAAATGCACCATTTCTCTATGATTTTTTCAGTTGATTTTACATAGTTTAAGCCTATGATTTTTATGGCTAT